GTAGTAGTAGTAGTAATAACAGTAGTGGTATAGTTGCAGGTTCGTTGACAAAAGTGGGGACAGCCGAAGCTTTGTAGGCTCTTTCCTCGTTTTAAATGGGGTGTTTATGGCTCTACCGTAGCAACCCCAAACTCTCAAAGTCTGCACAAACTGCCAGACCCTCAACCATCTTAAACCCTAAACTCTCTAGGAGCCCTTCGGGCAACCCTCATAGATCCAAAAAAGCTTAAGCCTCTGCAAAAAGTGAGCATTCTTCTCTTGCGAGCCTTTTGCTTTCGTACCGGCTCAGCGATCGGCAGGTTTCCGGTTGTTTAGACTCGAGGGCTCCAGGTTCAGGGTTTAGGGCACTAGATCCGAAGCCACAAACCCTGAACCCGACTGGTTTAGGGTTTAGGGTTTAGGGTTTAGGGTTTAGGGTTCGAGGGCCAGGGGGAACCTAGCTTAGAACCTGCACCTTAATGATTCCTACACCCTGCACCCAAACCCTAGCCGCCCTGGTCCCTAGAGTCAGTCACAACCCTGAAGTCCTACCGACCCGACATGCCTTAACAAAAGCCTTCAAAACCTTCACAAATCAAGCAGAAAGCTTCAAAGTTCCATGAAGCCCCGAGCCCCCGACGGAACTCTGACAGCCCTACACCATCGCCGTGGGGCCGCCTGACTGGGCCACCGTCAATGTTGGGAATGCCTCTGGAGCTGAATGCGAGGCCGAACGGAACGAGGATCGCATCGCCGAGCTGGAGATGAGCGACAACCTCGGACAAGCTCGTCTGGTGGGCCGATCCTCGCTTCAACCAGGATCATGACACCACGATGTTGGTTCAGAAGGAGGTGAGAAAGAAGTGGCTCAAGCCTGAACACAGCAGGCACCGACGACACGCGCCAACCCTGTAGTGCGAGCTGCTTTGGAGCGGCGTTCCCGACCGGATCGTCGGCATGTCAGGCCGCCGTCGACACCTCCAGTGAAACCTCAAGCCCCAAACCCCAAACCCTCGTCCAAACCGTTTCTAACCCCGAGGGGTCTAGAGGGGTCCTTCACGGCACTCCCAAAAAACACATCCCATGAGGCGGCTCAAAGCACGCCGTGCCAGCGCCGCGACTTGGTGCTTTTAGAAGAAGGCTAAGTGCAGGGCTCAGGCTTTACGGAATCCCCCTACGCCACCACGCAGGGCGATTGTTGCGGTGTTCGCCTGTGCAACCCGCCCATCAAGTCTAAGCTTGCAGGATCTGTTTGTGGGTATGTCTGCTGGGTTCCTGTACCGGAATATGCCGTGCAGGTAGCAACCCGAAAGCAGCTTGTGGCACTGCAGCTTACAGTATTCGAGGCCTTGCTACCAAGAAATGGTTTGCCGGTTTATGGGCTAAGGGTTAAAGGTGGGGTTTACGTTTCAGAAATTTAGGGGTTTACATCAGGGTTTTTGGGGTGTAAGCTTCAGAAATTTAGGGGTTTACATGCTAGGGCTCAGGTACCAGACTACGTGTTGCACGATCCCAAGGTTTCTTTGGGGGGTTTTGGACTCAGGTGCAAGGACAAACCATCCGAAGTTGCGTACGCACTACAACCTTGAACCCTAAACCCTAAACTCTAAACCTTAGACTACAGCATTGGAGCAGGCCATATGGAAGGCGTGGTTCGCTAGTGTCTGTGCCGGTGCTGGCTCAAGCACCAGGCAGGATCTGTCAGGTTCATACGTGGAGTGCTGGTTCGAGTACAGCGACAGTTGCTGTACCACAATATGGCCTGCAGAATCTGCAGGTTTGTATCTTAGAGTGTTGCCTCGTTGGGGTGCAGGCGCATTTGTGCGATATGTTACTGTATTTTGTTATTGGAGTAAAAGGGGTTGTCGTGAGAGTGAGATCTGATGAGACGTGTATACATACACACACACACACATAGATAGATAGATAGATAGATAGATAGATAGATAGATAGATGGATAGATGGATAGGTCGATGGATAGGTCGATAGATTGGTGGATCGATAGATGGATAGATGGATGGATAGATAGATAGCTGGATGAATCGATAGATAGATAGATACATAGACTGACCGCTAGCTAGCTAGATAGATAGATAGATAGACAGATAGACAGATAGACAGATAGACAGATAGACAGATAGATAGATAGATAGATAGATAGAAGAACTGTATACTTATATAAACATATGC